ATTTGCAATACACATACTGAGAAGTTACCATGTTTGGTTCACGGGTCACTCTTGGCAGTGCTCGAAGACCATCTATTGCTGGGGACAGAACATGGGGTTCCTCTTGGAAAGTATGTGCTTGGCCCTTTGAACTCCAGACTTGGAGAATCCTTTCTTCTTTTCTCTCCTTCTTCCCTTCTTTCCTTCCTTCCTTCCTTCCCTCCCCTAGTTGTACTCAGGGCTTAGTCCTGAGTCTGCACACAGACATCACTTGGGAGTCTCAGGGGACCCTATGAGATTCGGGGATAGAACGTACAAGGCAAGTGCCCTACCCACTATACTATCTCTCTGATTGCAAATCTTTTTAAGCTTCATGTTCTCATGGGAAATTTTATAGACAGCAGAGAGAACAGTGCTACTGACCTATTTCTTGCACCACTGCACTCGGGGAGAAATAATACCGTCTTTTTTGTTTTTTTTTTTTTTGTTGCTTTTTTGGGGTCACACCCAGTGATGCACAGTAGTTACTCCTGGCTCTGCACTCAGGAATTACTCCTGATGGTGCTCAGGGGACCATATGGGATGCTGGGAATTGAACCCGGGTCTGTTGAGTGCAAGGCAAACGCCCTACCTGCTGTGCTATCGCTCCAGCCCCGAAATAATACCATCTTACCTGAGGGGCCAGGAGCCATTTGAAACCCAGGGAATTTGAGCCAGGGGGCAAAACCTTGGGTTCAATCCCTGACACAGGGAGAGAAAAGAAAAGTGGGTGTGGAAATAAAGTCCAAGGAACTGAAAGAGAGCTCCAAGTGCCCGATTTAGGTCATGTCCACAGAGCAAGGAATCACACAGAGAGAACAGCGGCAGTACTGCCTGATCGGGGGGCTGGGGGGTAGAGATGATGGCTGGGAGAGGAAGCCTGGGCTGAGCATCTCAGTGCTGGGGGAACCTCCCAGATAATGATGGGTCCCCGCTGCTAGAGTGAGCTGCCCCTTTCCTGCTTGGCTCAAGGACCGGCAGAAAATCTGATCTGAGCTGACATGTGATTGGTACTTAGCCTCAGCCAGGAATGTGCTGTCCAGCTAGGGGCCCTGTCAGCCCTCCCGGAGACACAAATGTTCAACAGCCTCTGGGCCAGCAGGAATAAACTGAGTCCAGCTCTGTTTAATAAATGCAGCCCAGCTGGGAGAAGGGAGGGAAATGGAGCTGGACCACCTAGTCGCTCTGCTTTAAACTTCAGATGAGTTAGAAATGCGGAAGGTCCCAGCTCCTAGAGGGCCTGGGGAGGTTGTGAAGCTGGGGTACCCTTTCATGAGAAACCGAGAAAGCACAAGGTCTAAGGGCCTTTCAGGATTGCAGCTAAAAATTAGCATCTGTTTGGAAACACACACACACACACACACACACACACACACACACACACGCGCGCGCGCACACGCACGCACGCACGCACACACAACATTCCCTATTCTGCTGCACAGGAAAATGTCCCGGGGGCTGGAACTATAGCACAGCCAGTGGGGTAGGGCGTTCGTCTTTCACAAAGCCGACCCGGGTTTGATTCCCAGCATCCCATATGATCTGACCCACACCCACCCCCATCATCACCAGAAATAATTCCTGAGTGCAGGAGTAACCCCTGAGTATCACCAGGTGTCATCCAAAAAGCAAACTGTCAGTATCACTGTCCTCCTGTTGTTCATTGATTTGCTCGAGCGGGCCCAGTAAAAAGCAAAAAAAAAAAAAAAAGAAAGAAAGAAAATGTCCTCACAAATGGAAGTTGTTTTCTCTCTTCCTATGTCTTCAGAAAGAGAAGCTGCCATCACGTATATTTTGTATCTCACTTAATCACTTAATCACTTAACTTCCCGTTAGTCGTCGATTTGCTCGAGCGGGCGCCAGTAACGTCTCCATTTGTCCCTGTCGCGTGCTAGTGTAGCCCAATGGCATCTGTTCGCTCCGGGAACATGAAGGGCCTCAAACCGATCGTTCATGATCTTGACGAAGAAGTCTGACCATCTGGAAGGTGGGCAGCCACGCGATCTTTTGACATCCCGTGGAATCCAGTCGGTAACAGCTCTAGTCCAGCGGTCGTCTTTAAATCTCATTATGTGACCAGCCCATCTGATTTTCGACACCTTGGCAAATGAGACAGCGTCCCTGATCCTTGATCGTCGACGGATGTCAGAACTCCGGATTCGTTCTCTCATTTGAGTGAAACGTGATATTCCAAGCATAGCTCTTTCTATTCTTCTTTGGGAGACCTGAATAGCGTTCTCATCTTGTTTGCGCAGGGCCCAGGTCTCTGAGGCATATGTTAATGCAGGAAGAACATTTTCTTTCCTGCATTTTGTATCTCATGCTACATTATTTGGAATGATACTAAATGGGGTTAGGCCTTGACTTACAGTCAAAATCTCTCCATGGAGATGTTGATGCTGTCAGAGGGATGCCCATGATCTCTTTTTCTCTTCAACTCAACTTCTGAGTTCTTCTATTTTCACCTTTTGAAGAATCGCCAAAAATTTAGAAGAGGCTCCAACTCAATCACTTGACCTGATTCAGTTCAAGCCCTAAGCCTCTGTCTTTGATTTTCTTCCATGTTTGGTCATTCAGCTCAGAGATCAAAGCGGAAATTCTGAGGTGATAACCTAATGAGAAGGATAAAATATAATGGTAGACATCATTGCATCATTTTAATTTATTTTTTAAAATTTTTCATTTGGGGGTCACACCCAGTGATGCTCAGGGGTTCCTCCCTGGGCTCTGCACTCAGGAATCTCTCCTGCTGGTGCTTGAGGGGGACCATATGGGATGCCAAGGAGGCCACCTGGGTCAGCCTCCAGTGAGGCAAGAGCCCTACCTGTTGTACTGTCACTTTGTCCCCCATGCATCACTTTAAAATCCTCTGCTCCTTAAATTTATGAATTGAAGTTGCACCCTAAGGGTTAAGGGGCATCGCCCTTCAGATTGTTTGTGAGGAGCGAAATGAAGTTTCAGGATGAGGTCAACTTTTCCACTGAAGAACTTTGCTCCTGAGTGGCCTGCTTATCTAAGGCCTTGGGACACTTGGTGCCCTTTGGCATGACCCCAGCCCACTGATAACACTTGTTTGTTTCTTATCATCACACCTTCCTCCTCTCTTCACTCTCGGTTTAAAGCTATCTCCTCTTCTCTGGAGAGGACCTTTCTTGGAGCAGGGGACCCACTCTTATCTTTCTCTTTACTTATCGAGGATCCGACTTTATTTATTTTTTCAGATCCTTTTTTAAACATTTTTATTAGTGAAACACCATGAGGGGAGGACCCAACTTTATTTTTGGGGGGGGTTCTTTTTTTTTAATTAAAAAAATTTTTTTTTGCTTTTTGGGGTCACACCCGGCGATGCACAGGGGTTACTCCTGGCTCTGCACTCAGGAGTTACTCCTGGTGGTGCTCAGGGGACCCTGTGGGATGCTGGGAATCAAACCCAGGGTTGGCCATGCGCAAGGCAAACGCCCTACCCGCTGTGCTATCTCTCCAGCCCCAAGGATCCAACTTTATTTATTTATTCATTTATTGCTTTTTGGGTCACACCCGGCGATGCACAAGGTTTACTCCTGGCTCTGCAATCAGGAGTTACTCCTGGAGGTGCCCAGGGGACCATATGGGATGCTGGGAATCGAACCCGGGGTTGGCCATGCGCAAGGCAAACCCCCTACCCGCTGTGCTATCTCTCCAGCCCCGAGGATCCAACTTTAAATAAAACCAGAAGCTACCTTCCCACAACCAACCTGATTCACAGATGTGAACCCACAGGGGCAGCCACGCGGAACAGGCCTCTCTGCCAACTTCTTTCTGCTCGTGTGAAGATCAAATGGAAAAACAACCACCAACGCTGGGCAGCTTGGGGATGGTTTTAGATGATGATTTTTTTCTTCGGGTGAAAAAAAAAAGTCATTGCATGAAGCCATGGTGCACTGCACACTGTGTCACTCATATTTTTTGCAAGACTCTCTGTGTACACCCAATTTGCTTCCCAGGGCTAGGGTGCCCAGACAGAGGGACTATTTCCAGTTGCCGCCTTTCAAAGCCTCCACTCCAAACTGCTAATTTTAGCTCCCTAAGTCTGAAGAGGTTTCTCTAGAAGCTGTCAGTTTCTAGGTGGGGCGCATTCACATTCCAGTGGACAGTGGCAGAGGCCTGCAGGAAGGGTGGCCAGATCAGGCTTTCTTGGATATGGGGCAAAACTGAGTTTTGACGATTTAAAGGAAACTTGGCTGGTGTGGATTGTGTCTCATCACCCCACTTATTCTTTTTTTTTTTTTTTTGCTTTTTGTGCCACACCTGGCGATGCATAGGGGTTCCTCCTGGCTCTACACTCAGGAATTACTCCTGGTGGTACTTGGGGGACCCTAATCCATCCCGGGTCAACCAGCCGCATGCAAGGCAAATGCCCTACCGGCTGTACTATCGCTCCAGCCCCCAACCCCCGCTGCTTCTTAATCCTGCAGTGAGCACAGGGAGGGAGGAGGGCTCAGAAAGAGTCAGAGAGACAAGAGCGCTTTGGGAGTGTAAATGGGGGACCCGGGGGACAGGTGGAAGCTACGGGTCCTTCCTGCCTTGGCGGACTGTCCTCACAGCTGCTGCAGAGAAGGGCTGATCCCCGTGGGAAAGACCCCTCCCCACTCCAATTCCCCAGCGCCCACGCAGCGCAAGCGTGCCCTGGGGCAGGACCAGTTCCTCTGACCGGTCCTCAATCAACAGGCAGGCAGCTGTGTTTGTTCCTCCACCAGGGAGCCCCTCACCCCGCGAAGGCACTGCACCAAGCTGCCGGGGCCGGGGAGGGTGAGGGGCCCCCAGCTCTGACAGCCCGTCTGCGTTTCATCAGCTCACTGCAGCCGCCGCCTTTCGCGGGCCCCTTGGCCAGGGCTCCCTGGCGGCGTCAGCAAGAGTGGCACCTACTGCCCCCACCGCCCTCAAGTTTCATCAGGGTGATGCTGGCCGGGCCGCCCTGCGGCCGCGCTCAAGGGCAGGCAACAATGCGTCTCTGGCAGAGTTTTGCAGGGCCCAGGAGGCCTCGGGGCCTGCTGCAAACAGACCCCAGCGGGTTCTGAGCTGAGCTGTGGGTGGAGAAGACCTGCACCCGCTACCCCGCCCGGGCTTCGCAGGGACAGCCAACCCATGCCTCACCCTGAGCCCCGGCGCCCACGGTCCAGCCAGTCCTCCTATGTAGGACAGACAGTTCCCAAAGGTGAGTCTGGGCTTGTAACGACGCGGCGGCGGGGGCTTCTCGTGGGGTCTCCAGGACATCTTCTAACTCGTGGACAAAGCCCAGTTGTCTGTTTTCTTTAAAAAGTAGAAGGAAAAGAGGAGGGTTCTGCAGCTGTGTGTGGGTAGTTAGGGTTTTCTCTTTCTAGTTTGAGATCCCATTGTGATCCCTTTGGGAAATATTCTTTTTTTTTTTAAATGCCTCTTTGTATATGTTGGCTTGACGGTAATTAATGCAGATTCTACCCCAGGTGCTGTCTCAGCAATTAGAAAGAGCAAACATATCGTTTGTCCCGGAAGGCTGGTTTGCAATGGAATGTGAAAAATCCAACTGATAATACAGGTACCTTGGTCCATAGAGACTTGTGCTGGAAATACTTGAGAATTTTAGCCAAAAAGTCTTTCCTTTTATTTGGATTATCTGAATGATGGAAAAACTCCTCTGAGTGGACAGTTCTGTTCTGTCTGACAACAGACAAGAAACATTGCTGAAAAGCTCGTAGGCATTTCAGACTAGCTGATGTATATGTCATGGAGGGCGGGGTGTTAAACAGATTTCCTTTCCTGTTTTATATTATTGTACCCTTAACCTATGCTTCCCACTTAGTACATTTTAAATGTGCAGTTACAGAAGTGCTAACTGTAGGCATGCTGTTGTATTTGAGTCATTATGTAGATTAAAAAAAAATTTTAAGGCAAAATGTCAAGTCCTCCCCACCCCCCAATCTATTGATAAAATGGCATCATTGCCATGTTCCATGATGCTGAGCACACGAAAACTTTAAAAACATCATTTCAGGTATCAGTTATGAAGTCTGAAAATCGTTTAAAAGTAGATAAAAGCAAGAATAGTCTTAGTATGGCTTCTGTAGAATTATTTCCCTTTCACAACTCTTTCCTGCAGTAAAGGTAGCCTTCACTTGTGACGGTTGATGAGCCAGAAATGGTGGGAGACATTTTAGAACAGCGTCCTAACTGTATGGGAGAGTTAAACCTGCTTCCTGGCGGGAACATTCTGAATTGAAACCCGGGGAATCGGGAGCCAAGCTTCCGAATCACGAATAATAGACAATTCCAGTGTCCAAAGACATGATGGTCGACAAAAAAGGTTCAAATCCTGGAGATCAAAATTTAAACTAAAAGTATGTTAGCCCTCAGATGACACTTCTCCTTTGAAGTTCCAGAAGACATTCCATCAGGTTTTGGAATAGACTTTGGGGTCTGTGGAATTCTCTGTCTTTGACACTTGCAGAGATTTGTTGTGAAGAGCCCCCTGGGGACGCTTCCCTGGAGATATTTGCCCAGAGAGGGTGGAGACCTTGACCTGTGCTCTTTTCCCTGGACCAGGGGGTACAGGTGGGTGCTGGGGAAGGGGGTACAGGCGGGTGCTGGACTTAGATTTGGAGCCAGATTGCACATTTTTTTCCTGTCTGTCTGCAACCCAGAATTTGCATCTGTGAAACGAAGATCATAGTACCCGCTTAATGGGTCTGTGGGGGGCTGATGACTGAGGTACACCTGAAGAGTCTACCCCAAGGTAGTTTCCTCGCAAAGCTCTCTCTTCCCCTTGCTGAATTAAAACCCCTGCATATTGGTTAAGGTCCTTAACTTGAATCAGGCCAATCCCTGGCAGTTCTTCGAGCATTACCAGGCGTGATCCCTGAGCACAGAGGCAGGAGCAAGACCTATTTGGGGCTGCTCCTGGTTCAGTGCTCCAGGGCTGTTCCCAGCGGTGCTGGGAGATTGTTCCTGGTAGTATTGAGGGTGGGCGAACCACGTGGTGATGGGGATTGGGTCTCCAGTCAGCAGAGCATATACTCAGCCTGTTGGGCTGTCTCTCCGGCCTAAAGCAACTCTGTTGTTTTCTTTTGCTAAGACTCTAGAAAGCTTTTCATAGTATAAGGTATTAAGGAAATAGGAAGCAGGCATTTTACATTGGTTTCATAATGAAACAAAAATAACATAGAAAATTAGATTTTTTTGAAGGGGGCTCACACCTGGTGGTTCTCAGGGGCCATACCTGGCAGTTCCTGAGGGACCATATGTAGTACTGCTGTATGCAAGTCAAGCATTTTAACCTCTGTGGAATCCGTCCAGTTAATACAAAATTTACTGTCACTGTTGTTCATCGATTTGCTTGAGAGGGCCCAGTACCGTCTCCATTGTGAGACTTGTTACTGTGTTTGGCATATCGAATACGTCATGGGTAGCTTGCCAGGCTTTGCCGTGCGGGCGAGATACTCTCGGTAGCTTGCTGGGCTCTCTGAGAGGGGTGGAGGAATCGAACCTGGGTCGGCCAGGTGGCTGCGTGCAAGGCAAATGCCCTACCCGCTGTGCTATCGCTCCAAACCAGTACAAAATTATATTTTAATTATTTTGGTTTTGGGGCCATGTTTGGTAGTACTCAGGTGCCCTGCGCTCAGGGGTCACTCCTTGGGGGAGTCATAAGGGGTGCTGGGGATTAAATCTGGGCCAGCCACATGCAAGGCAAGCACTCTACCCGCTGTACTACTGCTTCAGGCCCCCTCCCCTCTGTTAGAGTTTTAGGGAAATTTTGAACCTGAAAGCCATGAGTTTGAGAGAAACATTTATAAAATGGTTATATTTTAGAATGTCAAATTCTTGGAAAAGAAAAGAGAAAAGTTGTTTTTCGGTCGTGATGCTGGGGATCAAACCCAAGGCCTGACAAATAAAAGGCAAGTGTTCCACCACTGATCTATATCCCTGGCCTGGGATACTTTACAGAGAGAAAAAATTATCTGTGTCTGAAAATGACTGATGGTGTATATCTTATTTCAAAAGAGGGAGTCATATGATGTCATCTTCCCAGGCAATACTTTTCATGGTGTGTGTGTGTGTGTGTGTGTGTGTGTGTCGGGGGATCCCTCTAAGCAGTGTTTGGGGCCCAGAGGCCAGTTCTGGCCGAGACCAGCTTGCAGAGTTCATTGCCTGTGTGCTGAGATGTGGTGCTGCTTGGATCTAAGAGAGCCAGAGGCACTCAGGGACCTCCAGGGCCTCCCTGCTATTACCAGGGCCTTTGTGGGCTATCCCAGGCACTGCTGAGGGAAGGTGGTACCAGGGAGTCAACCAAGGGCCTCGTGAATGCAGTATATGCATCGAGCCTCCTGAGCCCTTCCTTGGTCTGGGTCACGCTTCGGGGTGTATATTTCAGGCTGAGTTTTCCTGAATTCATGGTAAGAAAATGTCAGGAACAATCTACACATACAAGGGGCCGTCTGGGGTTAGGAAGTTGTTAAGGTTGATGGGTCCAAGTAGATCCAAGCCAGCTTTCCCTGAAGCATGTCGCTGGGCCTTGCACCAGTTCTCTGGTTGTTTAGACACGGGCATTGAGAGAGGGTGGCGTGGATGAAAAGGAGTCATGGGCGGGGGGAAGGTGGCGGTGTGTGTGTGTGTGTGTGTGTGTGTGTGTGTATGTGTTAGCAGAGACCGTGGGTGAGTTGCCCTAGCAGCACAAGCTGTGATTTTCAGACTGGAGAACATTCTGAACACATAGGGTGCTCCCTTACTCTGGCATGGAGGTAAACAGAGGCAGAGGTGGGGGAGCAGAGAGGGTCAGCTCCGGAGAATCTCATCGAAACATCCCCAATATTGGCTGGAGCCATAATATAGCAAAACTGGGCTCTTCCCTTGCACGTGGCTGACCCAGGTTCGATCCCCAGCATCCCGTTTGGCCCCCCCGAGCATTACCAGGAGTGATTCCTGAGTGCAGAGCCCAGAGTAACCCCGGAGCATTGCTGGGTGATCCAAAACAAACAAACAAACAAATTGCCCCTGTGGACTCTGCGGCCTGCAGCTTCCGGCCAGGGACAGCTAAACGCCTGGTTAGACTCTGGGCTTGAGGACTGACAGGTTGCAGGGATTCCCGCTGATCTGGGCTGGGTTTGACCAGAAGAGGGAGGGAGATCCCTACCTGTTGTGCTCCGTCCATGGTTTTGTCTCCCACAAACTCGGTCTTGTTCCGACACTGTCCTGCTCTGTGCACTCACGGGGACGGGAACTTCCTTCTCTCTTGTTTGCACTCTGCGATGAGCAAGAAGACAGGCAGGTGAATGGCCTGGATCCACCCAACATTCCTGGGTCTTGCCACTCACAGGCTGTGTGACCTGGGGGAAGCTGCTTCTCTGTGTGTGTGTCCCAGGTATTTCTTTCTCAGTGGTAAACTCAGGGGAGGCACCACCCCTCTAGCTTTCCTTCCCCTGGAGTGCTTTCCTTAGCCCTCCCTTAAAGAGTTAGAAGCTGCCTCAGGACTTGTTGGTAGGCGGAGGAGTCCAGTGGGAGCACTCTCATTCCACAAGCATGAGACAAATCTGGGCAGAGCAGAGGCAGCGACAGCCCAGGCCTCTGTGACTGAGCAAGCTGTCAGATGCTTAGATGCTCGGAGCCACACACTATGCATATTTAAGATGAAATTGTGGGGGCCGGAGAGAGAGAGTACTGTGGGCAGGGCACTTGCCTTGCACACGGCCGACCCAGGACTGTCCCAGGCACCCCATATGGTTCCCAAGTACCGCCAGGAGTAGTTCCTGAACACAGAGGCAGGAGTGACCCTTGAGCATCACCAAATGTGGCCCCCAAACAATGAAATTGTGGTTGTTGATTTAAGTAAAGGAAAACATCCAGAAGGTTCTGCAGAGACTATTACTGACCTCCACTGGTGCCCGCTTCTGAACCTGGGCATTCTGGGCTCCTTCCTGAGGGGAACCCCGATTCTAGTGTTGTGCATCAGTTGAAATGGCATGTTAGCGTCTTTTCCTCCTCCTCTTTCTTTTCCCCCTTCACCTCCTTCTCCTCCTTCATTTCCTTTTCATCCTTCTTCCTTGTCCTCATCCTCTCCTCCCCCTCCTCCCTCTTTTTATATTTTTGTGGGGGATATACTGCTGGTGTTTGGGGACTACTACTCTGTGAGCTGTGGTCCATTTACTATCTCTCGGGACCTTCCTCCTTTTTAAAACTTTTTTATTT